TCCCTAAATACAACCTCCATAAATACAATATCTCCCTAAATGCACATTTTTGTCTTGGCTGTATGAAATCATTAGTGCTAAATGCACGTTCTATATTCTGCAAATGCATATTCACTCAAAAGATTTTTTATATCATACTAACCTCCCTAAGTGCACATAGCCAATCAGAAGTCAGTATTTAAGTTTGTTATACAAGTCTACAGATTAAATATTAAAAGCTGCAATTTGATTGGCTTCCTCTAAATACAAACCTCCCTAAATACATATTTTAGGCTGGTCTGTATACATTGCATTTATGAAGATTTGACTGTAACAAATTCTTTAGCAAAGAAAACACAACTTATACATGTCTATATAGAGAACAGTGGCCTAATAGATATACAAAACAAGAAAAAAAGCTTAAAGCTGCTGACAACACTTTAACTTCTATATTACCTACTGCTAATTATGATATTTTTGAAGAAAATCTTAGAGAAATAGCAGATTTTAGCTTATTCCCAAATCTAACAGAAATGAAATCACTATCTCAAACAATAACAAATACAATTAGAGACCCAGAACAACACCTGATATACAATTCTCCCACAGATGAACAAATTGAGCAAGTTCAGACCAAGGGCTCTATTATATTCAGCATGGTTTCTTCTACAATAAAACAACATAGAAAAATAAATAATCTGATTTTGTTAGAACTAGAATCTGAACCCAACAGGCTAGCAAACATCTTGCCTAATATAGAAATAGACCAGAATATGACAAACTCAAATAGTAGAGACAATGAAGAGACCCATTCTATTAATATAGTGTTGAATGAATAGCTACAAACAAAAATATCATATAGCCAAGCAGTTAGCAGAGATCTTTTAAACAGAACCAGAAAAATTTCAAATAGGTACTTCATCAATAACAAGGAAAAAGAATGGCTAGAATATGTACAAGTAGCCTTAAAAGATATTAGACAAGAAAGATTGAAGCCCTTGATACAACAATTTGAACTCATCCAAAGATTAAAAATGCTTTAACTTCATTACAAGATCTCAAAGAATTAATCAAATACAAGCTTGTAACAAAACCTACTATTAACTTTATCCTGACTGCAATAAAAGCAAAATTCTTCTACTGGGATACAGCATTTTTTAGAAGTTTCACTCGAGTTTTAGCAACTAGACCACAACACCAAAAAGAATTCAATGCCCTATTTTTTTACATCTTGGAAACATATAAAAAACAACATGATGTTCTAGCTACAAATAAAAAAAATTATAATTAGATCTTTAAACTATTGCGAGTAAAGCTAGCTCTGGACTATCTAACCAATCTAGATTTCAACTCTTTAGATATGTGAAAAATTATGAGATATATATTTTATTTAGCAGGCTTTGGACTTTGAAACAACACAATAGGCAATTTCAAACTTTATTACAGATACGTTGATACTTCTATCTGCTGAACCGAAACTCATTCCTAGTTATCTACAAAGAGCAATTTCTTTTAACTTACCAATTTTAAACAGACAATTTATTGCATCTGTAGTCAAGACTTTATAGTTAATGTTCTCATTTAATAGAATATCAGATACATATATTGCTGATATTAGAAAGTCTCTGCCTACCTCCTACAAGCAATTAAGAGATGAAGTATGATACTTCTTTCCTTTTACAAGCAAGGCAGATCTACAAAAGCTAAGCCAATATAGAGAATCATTGCAGAAGTTCTATTTCTTTAAACAAATCCTATTAGAATATTTTGACTTACTTACTTCTAAGCAACTTCTACTTTATATTTCACAAGAATTAACATCAAGATTAAAAAAGAAATTTCCCTTTCTGCCTAGAAACCAAGAAGACTTCAAAGAGTATATCAGATTCTTACGGATAAACTATTCATTTACAAGACTTTCTAATGATTATATTATCTTCCACAGATGTCTACTCTCAAATTCAGCATAACTAAAAATGTCAAACTTTGTGTTTCCTTTACAAAGTAAAAAAAAGGCAAATATTTTTATCAAAAGTATTCTACCTATCTATAGTATTTTAATACCACTACTTTTAGTATACTATAACTTTAACAATATAGATCTTCCAGACTTATCTGAAGATACTAAACTAGTTACTCAGATGAATTTGATGCTACCAATCTCAACTTCTAAAGAATTAAGCATTGCAGCAAAAGCACTATGTGAGCACTACTATTTCCATATAATACCTCAATTCTGAATTAATATAAAAAAAATAGAAGAAGAAGAAGAAAAACCAGAGATGGAATCAAACCTAACTAAACTATTTTTAATAATCAAACAATTTTAAGCAGCCCTTATAGAGAAAGAGATTACTGATATAAATGTTTCTATAAAAAAACACTACAATATTTTCTAGTATTAGAAACTTTTCAAAAATATTTTATATACTATATAGTACCTGAATACATCTTTGATCTGTAGACCTACCTAAACTATCCTTCGATATCTTTGAGAAACAGAAAATACCTGTTACGATATCTGATCTACAAAAAATAACTACAACAGTAACAGACACACAAATATTAGAAGCAGAGCTAGACTTCAACACAGACAATCAATGAGTACATATCTTTCTACAGAAACTCTGCTATTAGCAGAAAATGAAGACATATCAAAACAACTAAAACTTGATCTATATACTGTATAAAAATTAATATATCTATTCACAATATCAGAGAATTTAATAACTCATTAAAAATGCAAACTTGGATAGAAAACTGCATAAAAAAAAATTTATATATATTTTTTCTCACTGAAACAAAGTTAAAATACTCAGCAATAAAATCACTAACCAACCTATTTTACAAAATATATATCTTAAATTTCTCATCCTATAGGCCAAATTAATGAGAAACTAGCCTGAAAATAGCTCTAATGATATGCAACCAGTTGCAACTATATATCCACAAAATTAATACTTTTTCTAGAACAGCAGTTTGTCTCGATTTCTACTTTTTTTATAACAACAAGTTTCGTATTATCTCAACTTATCTTCTATTAAACCACTTCTCTTTTCTAAAACAAACCCAGTTCTAGCTACTTATTTGGACCACTGAAGTTAGAACAAAAAACTGATATCTTATAATATATCTACCAATTTAATTTTTAGAGTTATAATTTTAATAGAAAGGGACTCCAATTTTAATATTATCTAATCAAAACAGTACCTCAAAATTAAAATTAAATTAACTGACATATATCATTTTACTATATCTTATTTATGTCTAACTGATTGTTCGTAGGGTAAACTGATCATTCAAACTATTATAGATACGTATTATAGCTAGCATTAACTATTAAAAAGAAATTTTTAAAACTATCTTAATATAAAAGACTTATACTTTTTATTATAATATTGATTTTTAAAGTTTAAAATGTCTACTATAGGTACTTTAACTTAATTTCAGTGCACAATTTGTAATAGTAAAAGAACTTTTAAGTCAAAAGCTAGATTGCAACAATATGAAAGTTTGAAGCATAGTAATTATAAAGAAATTCTAGCACATATTTTGTTAGTTCCAGAATATGAGTTACATCATATCAAAAATATTATAGTAAAGAAGATACAAAATGGTTAAAAAATTATTACTCGAAGATTGGAAATCAGGTTTTTTCAATTCATTGTAGCGAAAATAGCTTTGTTAATATTTTTGATCAATATTTAACTTGGTACTTTGTTTGTAGAAGCTGGTATCAATATTTTTTTGATAGAGAAGAAGCAATCGATCAATTAGCAGAAATATTTGAAGATATTCAATAAGCAGAAAGAAATTATAAAAATAGGCAATTATCATGGATCAAATTATATGAAAATGAGACAAATAAAATTAAAGAAACGGATCAAGCTATATCAAAATCAAAAAAAAAATTTTATTTAGAAAGAGAATTATTAATTGTCACAGCTGATTATGAAATCAGATTATTGTGAAATTTGGATCTATTTTATATATGATTTTTAAATTTTTTGAGCATTTTTTGTAGGCTTTTTTTTTATAGTTGAGTTAGGATTTAGGGTTAGAGTTTTTAATAAAAGAGTATTGGTAGATTTTGATAGGGCCTATATTTTCAAATTGAGACTCCAAATTTCACAATAATCTGATTTTATAATTAGCCGCAATATTAATTAAATAGCAAATAAAATGATTTAGTGACAAGACCAGTCATCATTGTGAAAGTGGAGAAGCAACATTTAGATTTGTAGTTGATCAAGATCAGTTTTAGAATAGTCTTTTTTGTACTCTTGTTACTATATTGGGTATATACTGGGTTCTTTGTATATAAAGAAAAAAATTTTTACTTATATTCAAAATGCTCAGTATTTTAATCATTGTAAATTTTTTTGAATATATACGACAATCTTTGTTTTAATAAAATTTGATAAATTATATATCCTCTCTTAATTTTATTAGTTCTTAGTTACTGTAATAAACATGCTTTAGAATTTTATGCTTTTCTAATACATTATTTATTATTAATTAATAAAATTTTTTTAACTAAAGACAGATTATTTCGGTATAAAAACAAATTGCCCCAAGACAAAAACTATACAGTTGGAGTTATAATGAATGGTTTGGTTTTTTTTTTATAGAGATTTATTGCTCTAATGCGTCACTTTATGTTTAATTTCTATTATTCAATTTTCTAGATCACTATTCCATTACCACAAAAATTCAAACCCGTTTATACCCAATATATAAAGGATTTTATAGATAGTTATGAGCTCAATTAAAGGGCAGTAAATCCCTTAAGCAAGAGTATTTCATATTGTTAAGAAATATCATAGTGTGAAGTATGATGCTTTGAGAATAGATCATGTATTTGAAAAGGAAATCGCTAAATGATAGCCTCTATTAAGCATTCATATAAAGACCGGGAAATTGGTACATCTTTAAATTTTATATGACTAAAGTTCAAAACCTTATAGCATCACATGTATCAAAATTATTTGTACCAAAAACCTTGAACAAAAAAATAGTTAATGGCTGCTTTAAAAGAATCCTATTTTTATAGTAGCGAGGTTGATCAAGAATCTGATAGAATTAAAACAATGGAAGTAAAACCTGAGCCAAACAAAAATTGGTAATTAAAATTTTATTTTATACTGTATTAATATTCTATTCATTTTATTTTAGCGACTTTCGTTGATGATTTTTTTAGCATCTAAAAGTTCAGATAGTTCAACATTAGATAAATCTGTCTTGTAGAAAGTTGAAGCCGTTGGTTCAAGTGCAACAATAATAAAATTCCGGCTTCCAGGTTCGATATATTGGCTCTTTAAGCACTGTTTGCATAATTTAATGTTTATTTGATTAGCTTAAGACGGAAGTAATATTATAGAATATTTTGATAGATCTGATCTTGTGCGATACTTATTCGAATTCATTAAGGTGTCAGTTTCTGAAGCACAAGATAAGCCACTTGAGGTATATATATGTAATTTATGTTATCTATTTCATTATAGTATTTTAATATATAACAATGTGTAATTTTCTTATTACTTTTTAGTTGGTTTACTATTCAATTAAGTCAAACAAACTATAGGTATTATTATATAATACCGTTAATTGATGATGTTCGGTTAACACTTTTACAAAAATAATAAATAAATGGATCTCTCTATAAATAAGAAATGGTAAATTTTGCAAAATAACAATTTACCAAAGAAAGATCATATAGGGTCTGTTCATTGCAATAAGAATTAATTTTAACAAGTAATTTAGAATATTGTTAATGACCAATACTGGGTGATGATTGAATTAGCATAGTATTAAATAAAAATTTGTTAGCAATAATATTTTATTATAGTGTTTACCTTTTTTTATACTCCTTTATCATGCATAAATGCTTTTGTATTGTTCAACATATTAAAAATTCAAA